GTTTGGAGGCCAAACCCGGAGGAAGGGCAACCAAACATCCACCTGGTCTCAGGTGCCAAGCTGGCACTACGAGATCCGGGATTCTGGGTTCACAGAAGAGACTGGGGGAAGGGAGCCCTTCGATCAGCGGGTGCAATGCTGTGATAGCCGCAAGAAGCTGCAGCGAGGAGCACGCCGATCCGCGCCAGCAAGAACTGACCGACACGGAGGCCCAGGCACCAAACGGAGCAAATGCAGAGAGGGGGCCCTCCCCCGGGGCCGGCTGTCTGGCCAGGGCGAGGATGCCATGGGCAGAGGAGCTGGCGCAACACCAGCCGGAGCCTCCACGCAGGCCCCACTCTGTCTGGGAGCCGCTGCAGCTGCGACACAGCGCCACGCCAGACTCGGAGGGAGAAGCTGCCAGCTCGAGGCCAGCCGTGGGAAAGTCAGGCCTGGAGAAGCCGGTCCTGCCACACCTCCGCCTGCCCAGCAAGCTGACAGGCCCCTCTCCTGCCACTGAGGACACAGCAGCAAAGAGGCCTCTCCCGGAGAGGGTGCTCCGGGGCCTCTCCTCGGGCCACGGCTGGCAGGAGCGGGCCAAACAGGAAGACCCATCAGGCCGCGCCACATGAGGCCAGGTTCCCTGCTGGGGAGCGTGTCTGGCAGGGGCCCTTCGCAGCCTCCCCGCCTTTCAACCTGTGTGATCTCCAGCGCCCGTTGCAGGAGGCAAGGCATGGAAAACCTGGAACGCTGCCCCACTCCTGACTATGATGCATCTTTCCTTCCTTCCTTCCTTCCTTCCTTCCTTCCTTCCTTCCTTCCTTCCTTCCTTCCTCACGCAGCAGCCAAAGCTCTCTGGGCAGCCCACAAAGCCTTCCCTGGACTTCCTCGGGGAGTGGGGATACTGCTGGCACGACACTCACAGGGGCCGCGGCTGCAGCATCCCTGCCCCCCGGCTTTGCCAGAGGCCTTGGGGGCAAGAGAACGGGGGAAGCAGGCAGAAGACCCTCGTGTCCCTCAGAGAAGAACTGCGTCCCCTCAAGTGCCAGCACCCGCCCCGGCCCAGCACAGCAGGGCCCTCTGTGGCCGCCAGCAAGGCCACCGCTGGCTGCCCCAGCACGGCACGGCCACCAGCACCCTCTGCCACCCCTGAAGGCCAACGCATCCGCTCCGCAAGAGTGTCGGCGATGCACCAGCTGGAACGGCAGCCACTCCGCCCAGTCAGCGGATGCCCACATCAGAGACCGGAAGTTCAACAGGCGTGTGCAAATGTGACCACAGCCAGTCTGCTCAGCCACAGACCCCTCCCCCCAATGCACCTGCCTTGGAGACAAAGGCCATCCAGAGACGGGCGGGCAGGCGGCCCTGCGCTTGGACGCCCCACGGGCACCGCCGCTCGGCCCCAGGAAGCCACAGCCCGAGAACTCTGAGTCCAGGCAATCCTTGTGGCCGAGGCTGCCGCGGGGCAAGAGGGACCCCGAGCGTTCCCCAGGCGTGGCCCCAGCAGAGGCAGTGGAGTCCGCCCCGCTCCCCCCTTCCAACCGCTGCGTGATCCAGATCGGCTCTGTGCCGGTACCAAGACAGCCAGCCTGAAGGGCCCCGTGGCAGCACAGGCACCGGCCTGAAGGGCCCCATGGCAGCACAGGCACCGGCACGGGCGCTCACGCAGCTGCTTCGTGGCTGCTTCTTCTGAGGTCTGAAGGCTTGGACAGCCTGACCTTTCAAAGCAGGCTTTGCAAGCTCGGGAGTGTTAAGGCCGCCCTGACTTCTGGCAGATCGGGCAGCCCGTGGTCAGAGCCCGAGCAGCGGTGCGACGGATCCTGGCACCAGGCACGCCTCGCGCAGTGGGGCCAGACTGACCGCCCCGCGAGTGGTGCGCAGCCCGCCCACAGCACTTCCCAGGCCCCTCCCAAGGGCGCTGGGAGCGGGTCTGGCACACGCCAGGCAGCGGGCACAGTGCAGCTCGTGTACCCGCAGCTGCATCAGCGCCAGCGCCGTCGGCCCAGCCAGCAGCGCCTCCCGGGCCACGCTGGGGAGACGCGACTTCAGGACGGAGGGCCTGCTACCCTGGGCTCGCCTGCATGAGGGAAGAGCGAACGCCACAAGTCGTGCACAAGAGACCAGGCATTTCCCCCTTCAGGAGGACAGCCAAGCAGCCCTGCGGGGGGGCGGAGGCAGCCCATTCTCCCAAGACCCCAGGAGGGCCCCTCGGCCACAGTAGAGAAGCCATTCCCAAGGCTGCCAGTAGACCCTCGACCCCACTCTAGCAACGAGCTTGAGCCTGGAACTGCCTCTTTCCTGGGGCCACACGTTGAGAAAGGCAGGCCCGTCGCAGGGCCCAGCGAGGACGGGCAGGCGCTCTCGTCCCTCTTCCTTCTTCCTGCTGCCGGAGCGCTGGACGCCCTGCCTCCACCCGCTTGGCAGTCCCTCTCTGTGCAAGGCAGGAAGCTCCCCCCCCCCCCACAAATGAGTGCCACTGGGATGCACTGTGCCTGGGCCACGCAGGGCTAAAGCTCGTCCCTGCTCTGTACAAGCTGCCCTTTTCCTTCCGTCCCAAGCACTGTGCGCGATTGTGAGTGCCAAGCGAGGCCCCTTCTCCCTGGCTGCGCGCGTTAAAACCCCGGCCACAGATCCCAGCCCCACAGGGGTGCTCAGGAGGGCTGGGGCTCCTTCTGAGGGCTCTGCTCCCCAGGATAACCTGGCGCAACAGCAGCATCTACCTATCTTCCCTCTCCAGGCAGGAAGGCCAAGCGGCTGCCTGGCCATCAAGGAGAGGGGCCGTGGCAGCCACCGAGGACGCACCTGCGGGCCGCTGCCCTGCAGGCCATTTGGCCCGAGCCCACCCCAAAGGGCGAACACAGGGAGGAAAGGCCAGAGGACCCGGGAGGAATGGCTCCCCGCCCCCACAGCAGTCTGAGCCACGGGCACCTCTGCAGGCACCTCTGGCAGCCAAAGCGAATGGAATGGAAGGAAGCGGCAGAAACCCCCCGGGAGATTTGTACACGCGGCCTCGGCTGCAGCAATGGGCTCCCCTGCGGCCCTCCCAAGAGGCGCGTGCTGCTACACAGGTGCAAGGCCACCCGCCAGGAAACCCCTCGCCCTCCTCGCGGAAGGAGCACAGGTTCCCCCAGGGCTGCAAGCGCTCTCCGACCTGCCCGTGTGCCTCTCGCCAGGAAGCGCCTGCGGACCCACAGGCCACAGCCAAGGGGTTTGGCCCTCTGCAGTCCTGCACGGGGGTGGGGGTGGGGGTGGGCAGGAACGGGCCCTGGGCCTTCTGCCGGCACGGTGGGTGCCCCGCTTCCAAGCACAGACCACTCCCCGGGATTTCTGTCTCCAGGCTCCCCCACACAGGAAAGGCACCGGCATTCCTGCCAAGAGGACGGTGCAGAACCGGCGGAGGCGCCTGCTCGGCTGCAGCCGTGCGCAGAACTCGGCAGCCAAAGCACATTTCCAAGGGCAGCTGCTGCCACACCAGGTGGCCAAGCCCCTTTGCACGGCGCGCCTGCGTTGCCCGCTGCCCCGGGGGCTTTCCCGATAGCACTGCTGAGCGGAGAACGCAATTCGCTCTCCCACACAGGCCCCTCACTGGCGTCCCCAGGCCGGACCGGTGCGCTTTCCTCACGCGCAGATGCAAGGGGGCGACACTGGGATGGTGCGACCCGCTGCCCAGCAACAGCGGGGGGCTGGCCCGGCGGCCTTCGTGGCCCCTTCCCACTCTGCCGGTAGCCCCTGCAGTATTCCAGAGGACGGACCGGGCTAGCAGACGGCGGTCTAGAGTCGCAGATGCAGGAGGCTTGGCGTGCGGAAGAAGGTGGCACAGCCCCACCCAGGCAGCCCCTGCACCCCACGCCACACGCAAGGGCTCACAGAATCCTCGAGCCGCGGAGGCCACTGGGCCCAACTGCGCTCCACGCGAGACCCCAAGCTAAGCATCCCTCCCAGGAGGCTGTCCAACTGCCCCGCAAAAGCCTCCGGCGTGGGAGAGCTCACGGCCGCCCTAGGCCATGGGCTCTGTCCCCACTCCGCTCTGACGGTGAGGACGTTTTCCCTGATGGTCACCCAGAATCTGGCTTCCTGCAACTTAAGCCCATTATTCAGGGACCCACACTCTGGAGGGCTGGGGAGAGACCCTGCCCTTCCTCTCTGCGACAGCCTTTCCAGTGCGAAACGTGCCCGGCTCTCTCCAGCCCTCCTCACAGGGCTTTGCTTGCAGTCCCTGTGCCATCCTTGTTGCCCTCCTCCAAACCCCTTCCGGAATCTCTGCCTCTCTCTTAAACTGCGGTGCCCAGAACTGGACCCATGACTCCAGATGAGGCCTCGCCAGGGCTGGTTAAAGGGGGACGAGGACTTCGTGTCATTTGGAAGCGATCCTTCTATTAAGGCAGCCAAAAATAGCATTTGTCCTTTTTGCAGCCACATCGCATTGTTGACACATTCAGCTTGTGATCTACAACTCACTTGCAGCACTGCTGAGCCAAGTACGGTGCCTTTGGTTCCCTTTTCCTAGTTGCAGAACTTGGCACTTGTCCCGTCTGAATTTAATCTCAGTCTGTTGCTGTCAGCCCAGAACTCCGGTCTACCAAGACTTCTTTGAAGTCTGTTCCTGTCCTCCAGAGTGATAGCCGCCCCACCCAATCTTGTGCCATCTGCAAATCTGATCGGGATTCCTTGTGCTTCTTCATCCAAGGCATTAATTAAACGACTGAAGCACGCCGGACCCCGAACTGAGCTTGCAGCACCCACTTGTTATGTCTCCCTGGTCTGAGGGGGTTTGGAGCACCCCGAGTCTGGTTCTGTGGGCCGCTGTGGAGCCCCCCGAGAGCTGCCCCACTGAGCCCGCCTTTGGCCGGTTCCCTGAGCAGAATGGCATGGGGCACACTGTGGAAAGCTGCAGCCCGCAGTGGCCGGCCTTCCTCTGCTGGCCCAGGCGACCTAGAGTGGCCATGCCTGGAGAGCCACCTGGGGGCACCTGCAGCTATGGGGCCAGCCCTTTCACCTGCACAGCTCCACCCCGCACATACCTTGGCCACAAACTGCTTGTCCTTCTGATCCAGGCTGGCTGTGGGGGGCACATAATCCCTCCAGATCCGCAGCTTGCGCTCTTTCGCGTACCTGGTGTCCAGGACGAAGAGGAGGAGAGAAGAAGCTCAGGCGCGCCGGCATGGCCACCCTGCCCACAAACCCAAGAGGCCCTCCAGGCGGCCTTGTCCCCGTTTCCTGGCACTCACCCTCAGGAGCATCCGCCCGCCCCCGGCTGCCCCTGCCGTGAGGAGGAACCTGGGACTCACTTCCGCAGGCGCGTCCTCCAGCTCTGGAGCAGACGTCCCGCAGGGGGACAGGAAGAAAGGGGCTTGGCTGTGGGCCCCCACCTCCTGCATGTGGAGCAAGTGCAGGGCACACGCAGCCGGGGGGCACGGCTGGAGGACGCAGGGCTGGAGGGGCCGGGTGGGCCGGGACGGGCCGGGGCGGGCCAGAGGTGGGGCAGGCATGAACCTTCCACCCACAGGATGAGCAGCTCTGCTGAAGCGGGGCCCGGCCGGGGTGCTCCTCAGCCAGGGGCTGCCCTGGGCCAGGGGACCTGCACCTGCCACCTGCATCCCCTGCGCCCCCCAGGGCTCAGGGAGCTCCTCAGCTGCACTTCCGCAGGGCCACTGCATGGTCAAGGCGGCCACGTGCCTCGTGGCCAGGGCTGGCCAGCCCCTCTCCTGCGCAGGCCCTGGAGCGGCTTCCCGGGCCCACTCAAGGCACTGCTGCAGACTCTGAGAGCCTTTCAAGCCTGGGTCAGGCAGGAGCAGCAGCTTATTAACACCACTTTGGTCAGTCAGTGAAGTGATCTTTGCCTCCACAAATCCAAGAAAAGGCACCATGCTTGCTCTTTGGACAATATGCGCAGGGACAAATCCCGGCAGGCAGAGCTGCCGAGGACGAAGCCAGCCCTCTACACGAGAGGGCAAGGCCCCCGCCTTTCGCAGGGTGGCACTCGCAGCAAAACTCTTTAGGAACACGTGAAAATGGCCTGCGAGGGAGGAGAGGCCACGCCGTTCCGACAAGTGGCCATCAACGCAGGCCTGGTGGGGGTGGGAGCAGGAAGGGGGGCTTCGCGTGGAAACTCCGCAGCCACGAAGGCCACCAAGTGAGGCTCCACCACGGTGCGGAGTCCACGGTGTGACGCTGCAGAAAAGAGCGAGCCACCGCTGCTTCAGCCCACTCCCGCCCGGAGGGCCACCAGGTAATCCCGGCTGGGGGGATCCACACTCTTACTTTTGGCAGCCGACAGAGGACTTCTTAAAGCCCATGTGGCAAATTTCAGCAGAGAGGGAGACCCAGATATCACGGCTGCCCAGATTTCCAGCAGGGCTTTTAAAAAGCAACCAGGAAACCAGTCCAAGAGGCAGTTGGACCATCGGACGATAACCGAAGGAGGGAAAGGAGATGGCCGAGAAGCTGAATGGATTCATCCGCCCGCATAGCGGAGGTCACAGGGCAGGCGCCTATGCCTGAGCTTAAGTCCTCAGGAAAGAAACCTGAGGAATTAAGGGAGATGCTGGTGACAAAGGACGCCATTGTCAACCTTACCGACAACTGGATGTTAATAAACCACCAGGTGGGCCAGATGAAACCTGCTCTGGGGTCTCAAAGAATCGAACAGGAAATTAAGTACTGCACATGCAGAAGCTGCAAACAAGCAGCGGCTCCTTCTCCTGGCTCGGCCAAGCTGGGAAGCCTGAGGTTGGGGGCAGGGCAAACGTCCTTCTGGAACCAACCAAGCGGCGGGGGGCCGCTCACCGCAGCCTCTCCCAAGAGCCCGGCAGAGGGAGGGCAGGCGGGCAAGAGGTACCTTTCAGCCGCTCGCAGCTGCTCAGCACCTCGCGTGTAGACGGCAATGGACCAGTCAACGCAGCGCGCAAACCCCTCCTTCAGGAGCAGCTCCGTGATGTTCCCATTCTGGAGTGGAGTGAGAAGAGCGATCCTCACAACGGGCCCCGGTGCCCGCCCTGGCAGCCCTCTGCCCACGAGAGCCAGCAGGCACGCGAGGCACAGCCGCCGCCGCCAGCCCAAAAGCACAGCCCGGTTCTCGCCCCTCAGGCTCACCCTCCTGGGCCCTCTCAGGGCTCTACCAGGAAACCCTTCTCTACTTCCCAGGTTTAAGGGATCCACACAGACAAGTGGGCAAGGCATGAAGCCAGGCAAGAGGTCCCCCACCGCCTGGCTTGTACCTCGAAGGGAACAGCGGGGGGTCACCCCCTTCCTCAGGAGAATCACCATCAAGGGGAAGGGTCTGCGGTCCCTGAGGCTCTGGGAAGGAGCCTGCTCGGCAGCTCTCCCAGCCCACACCTCTCCATGCGCTGCCCGCTTGGGTCCCGGCAGCTCTTATTGCCTCCGGCCGCCCAAGCTTGCCCTTCCCCTCGTTTGCCTGAGCTGTGCTTCCTGGCTGCCCCCTCCCCACATCCTGGGCACGGGCCTGCTGCCCCAGCTCGCACACACACGGGGGGGGGCAGGGCAGCCTCCACTCCTCCCTCCCAGGACACTTCTGGAAGACCGTGCAAGCCTCAGGCTGCTGCCCCAGGACAAGTCCTGTGCCGGCCCAGCACTTTCGCCCACAGGAAGGATTCGACCGCCGCGCCCTGAGGGCTGGCCCCACCACCTCACGAAACCCCAGGGAGGGGCAGCCGACCCACCAAGTCACCGTCGGCGCGTCCCCCCTCCCCCCTCCGGCCGCTCACCGGGTGCAGGAGCGTGCCCAGGATGTTCTGGTTGTGGCAGCTCTCCAGGACGATCTGCACATCTCGCTGCAGCAGCCGCGACTCCGTGAAGAACTTGGCCTCCGCCGCGAAGGGCTCCAGCGTCTCCGTGCCGTCCGCCTCCCGCTTGAACGTGGGGCACTGGGGCAAGACGGGCACCGTTCCTGGCCGGGCTCGCTGGGCTGGGCAGCGGGGCAGCAGGGCCGCCAGCGAGGGGCACCCCAGAGGCCACGGTGGGCCAGGCCACGGCCCGTTCGCACGGTGGCAGAGCAGCTGCCGCGGGATCCCCCACGCAGGGGCTGCAAGTCCCCCCCCCGCCCAAGCTCCTCAGCGACTGGGCTGAGTGGGCAGGCCACCCCTGGGAAGGGAGGCTGCGCCCAGCTGCACGGCTGGCCGCCGCCTCCTCCGGAGCCTCTCGGTCGGCATGGGCTCCAGCAGCAGCCCGGCCGGCCCTGCCATTACCACTGAACTCGGAGGGGGCCGGCCTGCACTTGGGCCGAGGCTCCTCACAGAGCGCCGCGAGCCGGGGGGCCGGTGGCCAGATGCAGCACGCGGCCCGTCCAGTGGGAGCAGCCAGAACTCCAGTGTCGCCAGGGACGGGCACACCCGCGTCCGCCGGCCCTCGTCCCCAGCAATCCGGCAGAGCCTCCAGCTCCGCATTCCAGGTTCGGGCGCTGCCCCAGAAAAGATCCCCCACACACCCCGAAAAGCCCCTCCAGGCTGCCCGTGATTGGGGCAGGGGGCGGGGGGGCAGGATGCACACCTTGATGCCGGAAAGCATGACCGTGACCAGGTAGTAGTCGGGGAGAAGCAGGGCTCGGACCACGCTGCCGTCGCGGACGTGCTCGATGATGGCTGCGAGAGAAGCAGGTGCTCAGCCCCCTCGCGTGTGGGGCTGCCCGGCACGCCCCACACGCCTCAGGCCAGGCCCTCCCCAGCAAGCCGCGCCGCACCACCCCGAGCACGCGCCCCCCTGCCCCGCTTCCTGCCTCGGCAAGCGGCCCACCATTCACAGGCTTCTGGTGCATGGAGTCCACGAAGTGGCGGGGGTTCTCCAGGGTGTACTTGAGGTCCCGCACCGTGTGAGCACCTGACCCTTCGCTCCACATGCCCTTCTTGGCAATCCTGGCTTGCTCCTCCAGCTCGGCCAATCTGCTCTGCTCGGGGCTGCGGGGAGAGTTTTCCTATCACATGGCGAGCAGTAAAGGCTGCAGATGGGGGGGTGCACGGTGAGGACGGCGACCACCCCGGCCCCCCAGCAAAGCGAGCCCGGCTGCTGGACCCACCGCCATCCGACGCTCTTGGGACCAGAAGGCCCTGGCAGCTCCCCCGACTGCGGGGACATCACCGCATGCAGCTTGAACTCCCCCGCAGGCCTCAGCAGTTGCCCGTGCTACTGACTGTGGGGCTCTTCTGGATCAGGTCCCTGGGCTGGGACATCCAGGGCTGGCGGAAGCCGCCTCCCTCCCAGCCTGGAGAGCCGGTGCAAGAGGACGGTGCTGGGAGCAGCCTCGGAGGACGCGGGCTGAAGTGCCGACGAGGCATCGCTGCCCCGGTCTCCATCTGCAGGCTTCAGGGGACGGCTGAATGGGCGCCTGCTCTCAGCAACGGCCCGGCAAGGGCTTGGTCTTTGCCAGGCAGCGGAGCCGCCCCGAACGGTCCACACGCAAAGGGAGGTGCTCCGGACAGGCTGGCACTGCCCCACAGGGCCGATTTCCGGCCTGGGGTGCTCACGGCCCATCTGTGTCACGGAGGGCAGACGTGTTCACTCATTCTAGAGACCGGCTGCTGCGGCTCCCTCACTTCCTGCACACAACCAGGAGGGGCTCACCACCTCCGCTGGCCCCAGGCACCAAACGGCCCGGCCCTAGGTGGCCAGGCCCCTGCTGGGCTACCTCGCTGATGCAGACCGCAGCCAAGAGGATGCCCGCCACTGGGAAGGTCCACAGGCGCCGAAACCCTTCTGTGGCTCAGGCCATCCTCGTGGGCCGGCATCAGCCTCCGAGGCCCCTGCGTGCAGACCGGGGCCCCCACAAGCCGGGCTCCACCCGGCAACCTGCTCAGCTGCAGGAGCAGCCGCCTGCTTCCCGCCCCCCTCAGCCCGCCCAGCGGCAGGTGGAGAAGCCCTGGCACATCCTCCGGCCCCTCGGCAACAGGAGGCAGAATTGGAATCTGCCACAGAGCTGCCGCCTTCCCTGCCCCTCTGTGTCAATGCCTTACAGGCCGACTGTTTCAACAGTGCAGGCCGCCCTGGAAAAAGTGCCGTCAAGGGAGGGGGCTGCGCATGTGGCCGTTGGTGCACGGAGCGGGGAGAGAAGGGGGCACGCCTGGGGCGCCAAGGGCGCTCTTACAACCAAGCTCCAGCAGCGGCGGCGGCGGCGGCACCTGCCACTCCACGTGAAGCCCAGTGGCGTGGCCAGGAGGGTTCAGGAGGGTTTCCGCCACGAGGGCCCACTCCCTCCCCATCTGCGAGAACTGGGGCGACGGAGGCTCCCGCGGGCAGAGCAGAGCTGTTTCCTCCCACCGAGTCCCGCCACCCGAGCAAGCGCCACCCCCTTCCGGGCAGACGGGCAGCCGCGGAGAGTGCCAGGGCCAGGCAGCCATGCGTTTCAGGTGCAGCAGCTGCGCTTCTGTAGGCCCGCAGCCATTTCCTCCCAAACGCCACAGGTCATGGAGCTCCCCCCACGGGGCCGGCCATGACTGGCCTCTTCCTGCACGTGGCCTGCTGGGAAAGCACCCGCAACCCAGGACGGCACCAGCCAGGTCCCTCGCCATGGCGCAACCGGCCACCCCGGGCCACGGCTTCTTCTGCAGAACCCAGGACAGCTGCTGGAGACTGGCCGAGGCCCGGCCGGCTGAGCCCCACGGCTCCGGCTGCTTCAGAGGGCTTCCAGAATAACCTTGTGCACCTCCAGCCGCGTCACCGGATTCCCCAGGCAGCTCTCGCACGAGGCCGGCCAGGAGGGGAGGCCAAGCCTCACCCGTCCCCCACTGCCGGCCCCGTGCCAATTCGGCAGCAGCCAGCCTGCCAGGAGAAGCTGCATTGTGCCGCGTGCCCACTGCAAGCTGCGGCTGCTGCCCCCATGGCGCCCCCTCCCGAGGGCCTGCAAGAGACACCGGTCCACTCGCGGCCTCTCGTCCTGGCGGACGCCTCACAGGGACGAGGCCAGGCAGCACCAGGAGCCTCCGGCCCAGAGGCCCACCTGCCCTGCTGGGCTGCAGCCGGCGGCAGTCTCAGCACCTCCCCGTGTGCCTCTGGGCCTTTGCCTTCTGCCTCACCCGCTGGAACGGGGCCCTCGGGAACTGAGATCCCGCTCGATCCCGTGCCCAAAAGTGGTTCAACAGCCTGGCGCCTGCTGTTCCCAACCAGAAGGCCAGAAAAGGGTCAGCCACTGCAGTGCCCAGAAGTCCGGCATCTGCCCAGCACTGGGATCAGCCGGGAAGCCAAGTGGAAGGTCCCCTTCCAAGAACTTCTTCCCAGCTGACCCCACCCCACCCCACCCCAGAATTTGCCAGGAAGCCTTCGCTCGGAGGCGCTTGCAAAATCCCTCTGGAAGCACACTTACTTGCTGGCACGGATTCCCTCCCGGCGGCTGGCCAGTCCTTCTGCCACCAGCGACTCCGCAATGTTCTCCCCGGTTGTATCTGGCAAGAGGAGGAACGGCAGCATTAGCGGGGAAGCACGGCTCCTGCCAAGGGCCGGCGGGTGGCCAGAACCCAGCCAGAGCACCCTGGGCCACGGCGCAGCGGGGCACTGGCCTCTTGCCCCTGCCCCCCACCCTGCCTCTCGGATCACGCTGGTGCGCCTGCCCCCACCCCTGCCCCCCACAATGCTGTGTGCGAGGCTGCAAGCGCCACACTTCAAGCACAGAGGTGGAGGCAGCTCCTCACACACCGGAGAGTGCAGGTGGGGACGCACCGCCCAGAGGATTCGGCACGGAGCAGAGGCTGTGCCCACGGACGTCCCCCCAGAGGGCTCCCTCACTTCTTCCCGCAGCAATGTGGACGGCCCACTGCCGCCTGCTCTGCGAGGAGCATCATCTCCCGAGCCCCTGCCGCTGCCCCCACGGCCAAGGACAAGAGCGCGAGGCCCTGCTGCCGGCCAAGCCTGCCCAGGAGACGGCCAGCCAAGAATGCCTGATGGCCAGCGGCACCCCTCAAGCCAGGGGAGGCAGCAGCCACGACGAAAGCGGCCCGGCCATGCCCCCACCTGGCTGCACGCCCTGGCTAGTGCCCAGCCATGCCAGCTGCAAGCGAGCAGCCTGCGGGGCCGGCCGCATCCGCTCCAGTCGCCGGCTTCGCGCAGTGACACACCCCGTGGCTGTTCAGCCCCATCCCCCCCACAGAACCTCTCCTGGTGCACCAGGGCCCCACATTTGGCTTCCCTGCAGGGAAAGCCGCTGCGGCACAGAGCCACTGTGGCCCCCTTCCTGAGCCTCCGACTGCCACTGGATCAAGGACGGCAAGAGCAACGGGACACACGGCCCTGAAGGCTGTGGGAGGAGGCAGTTCTGTGACCCCGAAAGACTAGACTATGCCAGTGCCTGCTTACAGTTCTGTGAAATGTGCTAGAAAGGGGAGCTGTTCTTCCCTCAGGGCTCCATTTTGCCTACTCTGTGCATGGAGACTTTTTCTGCAAAATGAAGCCTTTTTCCACTTCACCCGAGCGGTTTACTGGTGGCTGCCATGCCAAGGCAAGCGGGGGGGGGCAGCGTCCTGGGGGGGGGAGGGCTGATTCCCCACATTCTGCTCCTGCCCAGAGACTTCCTGGGTCACGTGGCTCATCCTGTGACAGCGGCAGGCAAGGGGCCACTCATGGCAGAGCCCAGCTGACTGGGAAGGTTGCGCTGGTTCAAGGAAAGCTTAGACGAAGTGACCGTGCAGAGGAATGGGTCTGAGAGAGAAGAAACAGCGCTGAGGGAGAGGGAGGCATCTGGGGGGCGTCATGACAGGCCAGGCGTTGGGAGAGGCCGCCCCACCCCACAAGCCGTCAGCAGAGAGGTGGCAGCAGCTGACTTCTGCTTGGCCAGCAATTGTGACGTTTGTCTCTTTCTGCATGGGAGAAGTTCATCAGGAAGAACTCCTGAGGCATCGGCATCCTTAATGTGGCAGAGGACAGAAAACTGAAGCGGAACCGCAGCGTGGCCAGACAAAGGCCTCTGAAGCTTTATGGTCAGCGGCCAGCACAGGCGACAGGATGCGCAGGCCTCAAGCACCCCCGAAGAAGCTGCGGAGGAAGATTTGGCTGGGACAGAGCCCTGGGGACCTCCCTTCCAGGGTGCTCAGCAGAGGACCCCGCAAGGAGAGGCTGGCTCTGCAGAGCAGGACCACAGCACCCCTCCCTGGCGAGCCTCTGCTTGCCACATACACGGCCGGGGGGCTTACAGCAGCTGGGAGGGCGGCTTCAGCCGGCACCACAAAGGGCAAGAGGAAAACCCCAGCCGGGTCAGTGCTAGAAGCCACAGAGGCTGGCGTTTCAAGCCCAGCTGCCACTGCCCAGAGCTACCCTGGCACACACAGCAGCCTCTGCCGGGACCCTACACAGACGTCTTGTCCACTTTGTCACCCTGAGCTGCCGCTGCAGCAAGAGGCAAGACAACGCCGGGGCTCAGACCGGCCACCTTCAGGCGACAGAGCTTGGCACTGCTGCCCCGACTCGCTCACCTTTGCCCAGGTAGACCATTCCATACTCGCGGCCTTGTGGGGTCTTGTACTCCACCGTGAAGCACACCTCCTTCCCAATGAGCTTCTTCCGCAGGAACTCACGGGCCGGAAATCCCCAGGGCTTTGGGAGGAAAGGGAGAGCCTCAGACGGGTGCCATTGCCACTGCTTTCCCCTCGTGAGGCACCCACGGCAGCTCACGCACTCTCCTCCACGGCGTTGTCTCCTTGCCCTGGACTGAGAGGCAGGGCCTGAAACAGCCCTTCCCCGGGCCTAGGACTTACTCGCAGCAAACTCAGAGCGCAGCCCCAGAAGCTTCCGCAGGCCCCAATCCCAGCACAGCTGCGCCCAGGGAGTCGTATGGGGCAGAATGTTTTTCTGTGCTTTATGTTTCCAGTGGATTTTTCCCCATTTCTTAGGTTGATTAGATGCTAGTTAAGTGCACAGTATTGGGCAGGCCCAAGTTTTAGCTGGTACTTGCTTAGGTGGTTGCCCCAGTAAGGCACGGCACTACACACACAACTCAGAGTGAAGCTTTTATATTTTATGCTTGTTTTATTTATATAAGCCGTTTCTATACTTCTCAACAGCCAAATCGCTCTGAGCAATTCACAACAACATATTAAGAGCTCAAGCTAAAGTAGGCATGTTAAAACTTCGTTTGAAAGCGCTGCCGCCCAAGCAAGTGAGCCGAGGCCCGAGGCACCCGGCACCCTCCTCCAGCCAGGCCTTCCGGCCACGCCATGCGGCACAGGCTCCGTCCTCGGCTATCTCTGCGGAGGGGGAGCCTGAACTTTGCACAGCCGGCAAAGAGGCCTGGGGACCCCCACCAGGCCTGGCTGTTCTGCGGCTGTTTGCCACCGGACAGCACCACATACCTCATCCGGCGTGTCCTTGCTGTCCGGCTGCCCTGCTGCGGCCCGGCGTGCGAGATTCCCGGCCCGGATGTTGCTGAGATTGATCTGTTTCTCGGGAGGTGGTCCTCCGCGCGGCTGTCCTCGAACTATGATGGCACAGCCTGAAAGAACCTGGAAGGAAGCGCAAGAGGGCATCAGGTGGCAGAGGCGGCGGCAGCCAGAAGGGCCACGGCGCCGAAGGCAGTTCAAAGCAGTGCGCACCCGTCCACAGGACGGCAGCTCAGACTCTTCTCTCAAGGCAGCGCCAGCATCAGTCCCGGGTCCGAGAGCCTGGGGCTCACCCAGTGCACAGCCCACATCGCCTGCTTCTGCTTGGACCTCAGTACGTCCACCCAGGTGCTCCACGGGAGCCACAGCTGAAGGAAGAGAGGAGCCCCCACCCAGGCCAAACTCCCTGCCCAGCTCTGCCTGCTCCCCATCAGTGGCGGCAGCTCCCCAGATTCAAAGGGCCTTTGAACTAGAAACACGAGCCCAGTCCTCTTCAAAGCCAGCATGGCAGCCACTCCTTCCCAGGGTAGGCTTCCTCTCAGAACATCTCTCCCGCTCCTCGCCGGCTCACTTGTGCTTCTGGCCGCTCACAGGAAGAACTTCAGGCAAAGCCAGCACTGGCCAAGCTGTGCAAAACGGCCCGCTCAGACCGGCACACGGAGGCGGAGGCCCCGCTGCCTGGACAGGCCGAGCCGTCTCTCCCACAGCTCCTCACCAGGGCAAGAGGAGCTGCTGGTGAACAGGGCCAGGCACCTACAGGTCTGAGCACCCACCCACTCCCAGCAGATCTGAAAGCACGATTACCACAGTTCAGCCCCCAACTGGTGCAGGGGGCTCTCTGGAGCCCATTCCACGGAAGCCACTAACTGGCCATCCCTGTGTCTCCTTCATGAGAACACGAGCAGAGCCATGCAGAATCGGTCCCTGGGTCCTTCTAGCCCAGCACTCCCGCAGGCCCACCAAGGCGGCATGTGAGCGAAACAGCCCACCACCCACGGTCCACGGCAACCGGGGCCCGCATGGCTGGTGTCCGCACGCTGCCTCTGGAGACAGCACGCAGCCATCCGGACCCGCAGCCACGGCAGCCTGCCTCCGGCATCCATCCATCCCCGGCCACGGCCTCCCAGACCGGCAGCCATCACTGCATCTCGGGGAGAGCCTTGTCCCGGCACCACGGCTGGCGCGCAGCAGGCACTGAGCGTGCCGGGCGCCTCCCAGCAGCTGCAGAAGGCCACGCAAGCCACGCAGCCACTGGGAAGCTGCCCACCAGTGCCCTCGGAACAAACACAAGCACGGCCCCAAGTGCCCTCAGACACGCCACCCGCGAGCTCCGCTGCAGCACTGCGAGCATTTGGTCCTGTGTACATGCCGCCCATCCTCCGCAAGGGCCAGGGAGGCATAAGTATCCCTTTGGGTGGCTCCAAACAGCTCTGAACACTTCGCACTTCAGACCGCCTGCCAAGAAAGCCCCGAGTGTCCCGCGTGCAGCCTCAGTCTGCTGGGGGGAACACGCAGCACGCCTCGGGCCAGTGCTTTCTGGGAGGCTCTGCCGCCCTGGCCCATCCGAGCTCCCTGGCCCCGACACAGCACAGGCAGGGAGAGGGGCTCAAGCAGCGGGCTTCTCAGAGCAAGCAGCTGAGCACTGCCCAACTCATTCGGACCGCAGGAGGCAAACCCCAGGTAGCTGCCTCACCAGGCACCGAGCCTTGCTGGAGGTGCGTCCAGTCCCAGACAACCATGTGGCCCTTCAGGCATCCTACTGCATGGGCACCCGGATCTCTCCCGCTCCCATGGTGGCCCTGCACAGCCGCCTCGCACTGCTGGCGTTGGTCACTACCCCCAAGGTCTCTTCACAGCTCACCTCTGGCTGGCCCGGGAGGCCCCCAGGCCTGCCGCACGGAAAAGCCCGCGGTGCAGCTGGAGCTCTCTGGGGGAGCAGTGTGGGGCGGAAGGGGCAAGGACGGGCTGCGATCCCCAAGACGGCTGGGCAGCGAGGCCACGGCGATCCCTCTTGCGTGCGCACAGGAGGCCTCCCTCGCCGCCGTCTGGGGAGCTCGAGCACAGCAGCAGGCAAAGGCCTGCCTCCAAGGCGAGACAAGCGGCACAGCTGAGAGCATCGACAGGCCCACGCAGGGGTCCCTGCCCACGCCAGCGCACCTTCGCGGGAGGAAAGCGGGCCCACCTCGTGCCCTAGGAAACCGGAAGCACCCGGAGCAGCAGCATCCCGGGGCTCCCATGCCAGCTTCCACTTTCACTTCTTCAGGGACACTTTTCCACGAGCAAATCCAAGTCCGCTGAGGGGGAGGGAAGCGAGTCCGCAGCCTGCAAAGCCACCCTCTCGCTCGCTCCCGATCGAGCTGCGGCCAGGCAGCCTGCAGGACCGACCCCAAAGTCTTCAGCGCTTCCCTCGCTGTGCCCCCGAACAGTTCGGGAGAGCTCCTCTCCCGCCCGCGGGGCAGAAGCGGCTGCAGGCAAAAGCCCCCGTGCGCCAGAAGGCTGCCCCGCCTGGAGGGCCGCCGACCCCGGAGCTCTCGCCCCGCAGCGCTGCACAGAACACGCGAAGCGGGCACGTGGACCTCCAGACTGCTGGAGTGCCATTCCCATCGGCCCCGGCCACTCTGGGCGATGTGTCGCCCAGAAGCATCCGGCGGCGGCTGACCCTGGCCGGAGGGCGGGTGAGTCAGCCCTCACGGCCATCCGACCACGGGCAGAGGCCTCCCCAGCCCCGGAGGCGGAAACCGGTCCTTCCGCGCGCGGAGCGGGGCGCCCCGCTGCCGGCCAGCAGCGCCCCGCTCCTCACAAGGGAGCCCTGCACCCAGCCGGGGCGGGGGCCCCGCTGCCGGTCGGGCCGCCGACGCTGCGAAGGGCAGCGGCCGCTCCGAGGAAGGTCGCGCGCGCGGCGGGAAGGCTCCCCGCGCGGGCTCGGCGCCCCGCGCTGCCACGTCCCGGGCGGAGGAGCGCCGCCTGCGCCGCCAGCTGCAGGGAGAGGGGGCGGCCGGCCCGCCCGGAGCGCCGCAGCGGCCACGGCAGGGCCGCGCGCGAAAGCCCCCCTCCCGTCGCCCACTCTGCACATGCTCAGGAGCACTCGCTACCATCTTGACGATGCCTCGCTGCAAGGCGGGGGCCGCGGCGGCGGCGGCGGCGGTCGAGGAGGCCATGGCGCCGGGCGAGCGGGCCGCGGTGGGTCGGCGGTGCGCGGGTCTGGGGTCTCCGGGCCGGGGGCCGTCGCGCGGCGAACAGCACGACAGGAGAGTCGGAGGGGAGGACGGGGCGGGGCCGCGCGCGAGCCTTTATTGCGCCCCGCCTCCCCGCGCACGCGCGGCTCGCGCGGGAGCCTCGCCCCCCGCGACGGAGAGCCAATCGGCCGACCCTCCAGCTGGCCGCGCCCTCCGCCCTCCCGGCCGGCCAATCCCCACGGCGAGCGGCGGCCATGGAGGGAACGGAGCGCGTTCAAACCAGGGCGTCGCGGAGGCGGAGGAGGGACTTCCGGGGCACGCAGGCAGAAGGACACGTCGGCAAAGAATGGCACGCGTCGCCGCCCCACGTGGGAAGCGCCGGAGGGGGCTGGGGGGCGCGCGCGCGCACTGGGGTTCCTGGGGAAGCCCTCTCGGCCAGCCACGTGGGCAGGGGATT